CCAAACTTCTTTTCTGTGTGTGATATGCCTTGCATACTAATGAAGCATTTTACAGAAGTAGATGAGGCTAATAGGAATGCAAAGGCGTGTACGTCTAAAATAAACTTGAGCTCTGCAGCTGAACTTCCTGTAAGCAGAGATAGTTTTAAACTGAACACATCTGCAGTTGAGAAGACTTATGCTTTTAATGTGCAAAGTAATCAAAAAAGAAAAAGAAGTATGTATGGGTGCAGCCATCGGAGGACTGAAAAATGTCACATGACAAATTCCACTAAACTCCACCTGTTAATATCAGCTGTGTATAAAAGCTGGAGTCAGGAAAGGTAAATTGTTGTGCACCTCCTGAATGTAATTCTTGCATTGCATTGACGATACCAGAATTCTGTGAATCGAATTATTAATTTGTATACAAAAAAATACTAATATTTTTTACATTGAGGAAAACCTCTCTTGACCTTTTTTATTGAACACGCTTAAAATTGATCAAATATTCCAGCAATAGACAACCTTATATAACACTAGACAATGTTATTCACCAGTTAGCTTAGTTGTTGACAGGCCAGCGGGGGCAGGAATTATATTTAAAACTGACATTCGGGTGAAGTTGGTGTTATATTTTCACATTCAGACTTTTTAATAATATAATTTCAGAAAAGTATTGTTTGCAAGTTCTAAATAGTGAAATCATATAATCAGCCAATGACTGTAAAATACAACATTGTTTACAGTCAATGAAAATGTTTGAAAATGAACAAAGGGATGGAGGGGGCCGGGTGAACTGAAGAGCGGTAAGCAGATATGGAAATGGTTGTGCGTTGGGTTTGATGCGCAAGGGGACTATACCAAAAAGCTGGACGGAGTGTACCAAAAAGTTGAGGAGCGAGGGGAAGGGGGGTGGAATTTTGGGATACAGAACAATACGAGAGATGGCTCTGATATTCCGGAGACTCCCAGAAAAAACGGAAGTGTTGGCAGGTATGACTGCACGCACATTGCTATAAAAGTGCCATCTGAAAACGAATTTGCATACGTGAATCGAAAACATTTCCATTCAATAAATGTGCAAATAATATGTGATGCTCAAATGCGCTTAATATAATACACACACTATTCCTACTTGTCTTCCTTGTGATGAAGAGTAGGCAAAATTTGATATGTAGTAGGGGGAAAAGGAAGGAGTTCATCAGACGCTGCATTCGAACTGGGTTCATGATCGATCGAGTCAAAACATGTTGCCATGCGCTTTACGAGCTACGCCACTCACGCTGCTGTTTGCTGCTCTCTTTAGTTATGCTGTCTCTGTCAATCAAAAGGTGATGGGCAGGAATCACTCAACTAGCTCATTCCAAAGAGGTGTGTTATTTGCACTTAGGCTAAATAGACACTACAAAATTTTACACCTTTACATTGGACCATTTCTTTTTTAATTCACTCACAGTGCGATGTTCAGACCCCACTGCGTTAACTGCGTCAGCTAAATTCTCACACTCTATTTTTTTTCTTTTGTTTTATTTCCGGAGGACATTACCATATTTATTGCACTCGTGCACTCAGTTTCACGTTAATTCGGATGTTAGAAAAAAAATATGTGTGGGGTTCCGCGTATGCAGTGTTTCATACATCTGAATTTTTTACTGCGTATGCACATTTACAGTTTTGTGCATTAGCAATGTTTTAGTATTGTTAGGACTGCGTTGTTTTGTGTTTGTGTGTTTGATTTTGATTCTAGATTGGGGGCGTGCCTTCAGCGCACCTGAGGCTGGTCAGCACCCTTATTTAAACCCCGGCAGAGAGTTTGTTGGGGCCGCTGTGCATTCATTTGGCAGTTGGCCAGAGCCGCTCTCCAATTTGGACATTATGCTTTGTTTCGCATCCATACACTATCACTGACAACATTTACCGCATCCATACACTTGCATTTCACACTGTTTGAACATACTGATACTGATATTTTGATTATATAATTTAAATTGAGTTCAATAAATCTTTTTGATTATACTTCTCCTTGTCTTCTCCCTTACTATGTTACATCCCTGAGCCAGGTGTAACAGTATGAATTCAACGCAAGTCTTTGTACATGAGGACCCAGGAGTGAGCTTTGAGGAGGAACAGAGCTTGTGACCAGGCACGTGCACACATAGGGCTCAACCTGTGCAGTGCACATGCCCTTTTTAGTCTTGGATAGAAAGTGCCCTTCCAAAATGATCAAAAGTGCCCCCGCGACGCGGCACACCCTCGGTCCCGCCCTTCAGTAGGCGCGCGACAACACCGCTCTTGAGTACGCGCGCGACAACACAGCTGATCAGAACGCGTGCGACAACACCGCTCTTCAGTACGCGCGCAACAACCACCCCCCCCCCCCCCCTAACCCCCCGGCTATTCAAAAAATGTATCCTGCACATGCCCTTTGGACGGTCTCTGCACGGGCCTGCTTGTGACCCATAACTGTGGGTGTATTGGTGAGGAATGTAAAGGAGGATCAGAGCAGGATAACACAACTAATAAAACAACTCCCTTAAAAGAATTGCCAGACTCCCAAACAGTTAATTATTTCATGTGAACGAAACGGAACATCGAAACAAAACAAAACATTTCCAATCAAAAACAACACTGTAGCAAGTGGGGCAGGGCCGAGAGCTGTGAGCATGCGAGGTGGGTACAAGCCAGCTAAATATAATGTGTGTTTTAGGTCAAACGTAACACAAGTTTTGTACTAATATAATAACAATATCTATTTAAAGGGATCAATACTAAAGAGACATGTCTCACTATTATGGAAAAGAAGATAAAAATATGGTATGCTTGTTCTTAGTGTCCTTTCCCACACTGTCTGCTGGAGTTTATATAGCGATCAAGCGTGAAATTAAACTATCCAGGACTTTAACCAATAGGAAGTTAATCAACTAAAAACGTTTAAAATGCTTTAAAACTGACATACCCTGGTCTAAGTTAACCGACCAAGATATACTGTGACAGGAAGGTAATCTTTTTTTTTAACACCTCACACCTCTGCGGAAATTAAAGCTAAACATAAATCTACCACAAGTGTCACATGCTATAATAAACAGTGGTGGTGTTTTAAAATGTATAAATTGGACATCAAAATAAACTGTTGAAAAACCTACAACGTCTGAAGATTTTCTAGAATGTTGCACCTTTACAACGCCATTCACTTATAAGGTCCACCAAAACTAACTCGGCTATGGGTTTGTCCATCATTGTTTGACTCAAGGATGTTTTTAGAGCATATGCTTGGGGAAAAAGAACCCAAAGTGTGTGCAGATTTCAGTGAAAGATAGTTAAGACAAGTCTGTCAATGTGTGAATTTTTTTTTTTGGCAGTTTATAAAGTGTGAAAGCAAATGTTTATCAGAAGCACCTTTGGCAACATGCAGTTAATTTCCTGCAATTTCAATTTGATGTCCACTGTTTATCAGTATATATATTTATTTAAGCTAAATAAATAACTCACTCGCAGGTTTGTTCCTGAATGATTAGTTTAAACAATTCAATTAAATATATGATTGAGTCTTTAACCATAAAGACATTTTGTTTTTGATTCATATACTGATTGAATCTGGTGATCCTATGAGCTGCATCCAAAATCTCCCCTATTAAATAGAAGTAAAAAGAGTCTAAATTCTTAATTACTCAAAATAGAAGTAAAATTTCAAAATAGCAGGAAAAGGTTTGTCTAAATTGACATTACTCATAAAAAAGAAAGAAAAAAGTACCTACATGTCCTCTCAAATCCCAAACAGTAGGGGAAAGTATAAATTCATATTACTCTAAATAGAAAAGTAATAAAGTACCATTGACTCTTTGTAAAATTTAGATTTTAATTAGTCAGTTTTTTAATTATATTTTAGTTTAATTTTATTATATTATATGTTGTCAGAATCATTAGCATCATTCAAAATCTGGTAAAATTGAATACTAATAAATTAAAAAAATATGAATATGATATAAATATACCTAGCTGTAGAAAAAGCCAGGTCCAGTAATTTGAATGAAGCCTTTTAAATTAATAAGAAGCATTTAGAAATACTTTGGATTTATAGATATTATTACATATATCGTGTTTTTATTTGTTTCATTTTTGATTAACTATCAAATATCAGTCACATAAGTTTATTAAAGTAGTATGTTAAAAATATGTAATTCAAATGGATGGAAAGTTTATAGGCAATCAGAATACATTCTGTACATCTTATTTGTTGGGTCTAAATATTTTCTATGGGTGTACACAGTTCACAATGGGTGGGAGTTTTGTGAGTGGCAGAAAACAATCACTTGTTGCCACTTACTGGCTTGATGAAATAATTGCAGAATTAATCATTTTAAAAATCCCCATCATAATCCACAAAAAACATCAATAATTACTGCATAGTTGTAGTTTTGTTTTGTTTTAAACTCCCTCTATCTATAACTTTTTCCTCATGTACAGACTAAAGTCTTGTATGTCAGCAAAAAGTAGAGAAAAAAATCCCTGTTTTGATAGGAGGGAAAAAATACTGCTGTGTTACACTCCTGATAGGAAAATAATACTCCCACATGAAAAGCTGGTTTTCCCACAGAAAAGCTGAGCTTTGACCACGAAGAAACCTTTCCCACAAGAACTAAAGATAAACTCAAGCAGATAAAATACTGTGTCCTTGCGCTTTACTCTAAACATTAACATATTAAATCAAACTTTACCAATGCTTTTCAGTCATTCAGAACCTTAACTATATTAATAAGTGAAATTTTAACTACTATCTGCAAGTTTCCCAGAGAAATATTGCAAGAGGAGTAATTAATGCATCACAAAAAAATCTAATCACGTGATTTGGACTTAAGCCTAGATTGCATAATCATGAGCACAATGAAGCTGTGACTGGGTTGTTTGCCGTGAAAATTAAGTTTATATCAGGAAGAATTTTAACTATTTAAATGTTTGTTTATTTTAATATGATTTGCTAGGAGATTAATGTTGATTAAATTCAACATGTGTTCATTTACCTGTATGATTGGAGAACTGCACAGAGTTTATAGTGTCCACTTCAAAGCCCAGCACCTGTTACAAACAGGTCACATGTTTTTAATACAGCCATGCACGGCGTGAGAACATGACATTAGCTGTAAGGCTCCAGGATGCAAATGAGTAAAACACCTCAAACTGCTTGATAACTAACATTACGACTAGTTTGCATAATAGCAAAAGCCGCCTCTCTTACCTGCAAAGGAAAAGTAGCAGATTTGTTTCCAACATAGCCTCTCACAACATGACTCTGAACTGAGAGAACTCTGCAGTCCATTGCTTTTGCTGATGCTTGTTTAAAGCAAATCACAACTAACGTTAGCCTTTAATGTTTATATATATATATGACACGTCAGCCAAAAAGACGAGTTTAAACGTTTAAAAGCGTAAAAAGTAAAATATGTACAAACTTAAGAAATGTCAGACATGAAAGCAGCAGCTCTCCCTACGTGATGAATGGACGGGGCTTAGATAAGTTTTCTTGGGGGTTCAGGCATTTGCCGAAGACACCTAACTGCTTCAGTGTGTTTACAAGAACTGGCCAATCGCGTCAAAGCAGAACGGCTTTCTAAGCAGAATCCTGCTGCTGCTAGAGCTCCTGCATATAAAGCACTTCTTGACATCCGCTAATAAATACGCCTGGTATGGATTTTGCTATTAAGTTTCATCACGTTTTTTTTTACGTAGTTATTAATTTTTTTTGATCACTTTCAGTTCTTAAATGAATTAAAGTTACGTAGTCCACACAGGAAGGCATTTCTGTTACATATGAAAAAATAATTTGTTTTCTTGCAAGATATGAAATCAATATTTCGAAACTTTCATTTAGACAAGCATGATGAAGAAGTTGCAAGACAAAAAAAGTAATGAATCAAAATAAATAAAGACAGAACTGAAAAAAAAACTGAGAAATTGTTAGCAACACCTAAAACTGCAAGGAGAATGAAGCTAATAAATGAAGCAAATAGCCACTTCCGAAAAGGAGTTAGAGACATAAACATGCATCAGATTTGTGAATAAACTTGATCTGAATTTGGAAATTCAAGAAAGTCAAAATTGTTATAAATTCACAAGGATGAACAAGGAAGAAAATCATGGTAAGATATACAGGGATTCAAAGCTTGAAACCAGTGTTTTTCAACCCTGTTCCTGGGGGGTATTCCAGAAAGCTGGGTTAACTTACCATCTGCTAAAACCTAAACTCTCGGTTGATTTACCCAAAACCTGCTTACCGCGAGTATGTTGGTTCCAAAACAGGTGACAAGAGTTAGTTAAATCAACCTCCTTAAGATAACCGCGGGTTAATGCGCGTGCACGGCACACACCTGAAGGCATTTTCAGTAGATCGCCGAATTCACGAGTCACCATAGAAAATCACGGTGAGAAAAAAAGGGCAACGCACTTTACAGAGGCGAAGCTGGAGGTTTTAAACACAGAGATTACACATCTGCTTCAACGAAGGAAAGAAATATAGAATAAGAAATAGATAAGAAAATAAAAAATAAATAATGAGAAAATTTATTGGTTCATTAAATTACACATGCCACCGTCCATTTTATTGTAATGATAAATTAAACTACTCTTTAACATCCTTTTTGAGTATGTTGTGTAACCATTCATGCATTTATTTTTCTTGCCATTAATTTCTTAAGGCCACAATATGTGTATTGACTAATAAGGCTTATAGAAATTTTAATCTTTCTGGAGCTAGAACTCTGTCCAAAGTCATTAAACACAGAAACATTATCATAAAAGGTAATATTTAATTACTGGAGCTCTTTATTTAACACTCTAGAATATTCTTTCTGACATGCAGCTAATAGAAAGAGGCCTGTCTAACTGCTGTGTCCTATAATAAAGGCTTTTCAGTGGTTGAGTTTTTGACTTAAACCACACACTCTGTCACTGTTGTAAGTGATTGTTGTCAGATAGCTTTAGGTTCTTTTTATTTTGCATGCAGACGAAGTTCCTTCTGCCTCAACTAACAAGCAGTGTAAGAATTTTCTGCACTTTTCCATATTTGAATATTACTCTTGGATCACAAAATCTTTTATCTACATATTTAAATTCTAAAGTAGCTGTATAAGGTCCATCTTCAAAGATAAAGTCACATAAGCATCAACTTAAGGTGAGAAATGTATATGAAAAATATGTTACACGTTGAAAGGTGTGTGTATAAAGCAGTGTACAAAATCATTCATTTTATTTCAGAAAATGAAGAAATGAACAGACCAAACTATTTGATTAAACATAGTTTTTTGACTAATTATATTTTTTTAGCACTCTTCCATCTGTTTTGTCTGCTTGGGTCACTGAGATTTCCTCTGGGTCAGGCTGCAGGTACGTGTCATCGTATAAGGCAGAAAAGGGTATCTTTTGTCCTCCAGCAAGTAACAATGTAGTGCCCAGTAATGATTCTATTTTATAATACAAATATAATAAAAATAAACATTGTGTTAAGCAACATTTGCTTTATAGTTTTTTTTTTTTTTTTTTTACTATATTTGTGTTATACACTTGAATCATTACTTCCTGAAAATCAGCCATTTAGCCTCAACATAGTGATGAGGTGGGGTGTGTGATGAGCTGGTAAGCAGTAATGAGTTTAATAGCTGAAACACCAAAAGATTAAGGATAGAAAATTAAGTTGTACCTGCACACTTATACTTTGGACAAATTTTATATTATCAGTGTCCTTTAGTGACTGATGGAGCTTTAAAATCGGTTGCAATTAATGCACACAATAGCATTTAGAAACCCTGAAAAAAATATTATATTAAAAAATGTAGGTGTGTGTGCGTGAATGTATATATAAGAACGACGTCCTACATCTTAAATTAAAGATATATCTTCCTACAAAAGACAAAGCTGCCAGTTATAATATTATACAGAAAAATGTGAGGGTGCAGAAGGAGAGAAAAAACACAAGTTCTGTTAGTGAGATTCGAACTCGCTCCGTTGTGCGCTCCGTTGTTCTTTATCGACGTTCTGTCTACTACGCTATTCCCGTGCTCTGAATCACCTGTGTAATGATACGCAGTAATGTATGACCAAGGAACTGTACAAAAGTGTAAAAAAACAGTTCAGTGCCAGGCATACTGTACAGGTGGTCATACTGCCACATTGTACAGTTGCCTAAAATGCCCTGACGCGAATACAAAGAGCTGCACTGAATGTTTTTTATGGTAAGCGCAGACCCGCGGTTTGTCACATTTGATTTCAAAAAGGTTTGTTAAATACATTAACATTATGAATTTGGTTCTGAAAAAAATATGCACTTATAACCCTCTCACAACGAAAAAACTTGTATCTGTGTGTCCACATCCATAAATATTCTCATCAAAAGAGCACGCAATGCTCAGTAAACTCTCTGAAACAGACAAACTCTGAAACATAGCAACTTACTCTCTGAACATAACCTGCTCCGGAGCAGGTTATCTTCAGAGAGTAAGTTGCTATGGCTACTTAACATACCCAGAAGTTACCTCCGATTTTGGAACCAAAGTTGAGGTTATTCACCTACTTACTCTCAAACTTACCCGGGTATGTCACATAACCTGCTTTCTGGAACAGCCCCCTGGAGGCACACCAGCAGTACATATTTTGGATGTCTCCCTTATCTGACCCCTTGAGGTGTGTTTGATTAGCGAGAGGTTGAAAAAATTTTACTGCTGGTGCCTTCAGAAGCAGGGTTGGAGAACACTCAAATAGTACAATTGAAAAATAAAATTAAATAATAAAATAAATGATTTCACAAGATAAGTTTTACTACAAAATAAATAAATTGCATAAGAATAATTTATCAAACCTAAAAGTGTGTATTGACTCACCGAACAGAGCTGTTCATTACTTTCCTGTAGACTTGCAAAAGGCATATGCCAGCATCCTCTCACCCACACACTTACCCACCCATCATCAGACACTTCAATCTTATTTTTTTTTTCTAATCTAATTAGCAACTTTATGTATATCCTAAAACACCAGACAAAGACATTCTACAACCCCACAGGAAAATAATCATTAAATTAAATATAAATTCAATACAATCTTTTGCTGTTCCCATGATAAAATAATAAATTATATGTATATCAGTAAATCCACATGGCAACAATTATCAGTTCTAGATGCCTCATTAATGTAATTCAATAAATCATGTGCTGTATAATCACATATTTGACAAATTCACAAAAAAAAAAAAAATATTCATTACAATTTATAAACAAACAGCTGTGGAGGATAAATTGAGAAATGTGAATAAATTAAACTTGGAATCACAATTAACTTTGTGACATAAACTTCAGAGAATTCAGAAATAAAACAAAACAACATTTTAGCTTTGTAAGATACACTTGAAATTGCATGGAAAACATGCAAGAATAAGTACAAAAGTCTAAACTGTGAAATATAAACTCAGAATTGTGAGAGAAACTTGGAATTAGGGGATATATAAACTCATAAAGGTTAAAAAAATAAATAAAACTACACCAGTAAATACATTTTTAAAAGTACAATTTTTCTTTATTGTGGTTGTGGAAATAAGTTTGTGTATAATTGTTTATAGACTTGGATGTTTACCACACTAAACACTTTATTAGGATGTATTTTTACATCACATTATCAATTAGCAGCTTTTACATTAGCTATTAAAAGTAGTTCATTATATTCAAAATTATTAAAATGGTCAAAACAATATTCTTCAAAGAAATGTTGGAAGACATTTGGATATTTAACCTTCAACAGTGCATTATACTTCAGCCGTAACATGCACTTTTTGAAGGCACTATTAATGCAGAAAGTACATATAGATTTTGAAGCACATTACGCTGCCTTCTTTTCCAGGGACGGCCATGGATATTTCAACAAAACAATGCAAGACCACATTCTGCAAACATTACAAAGTCCTGGCTACAGAGGAAGAGGATACAGGTACTTGACTGGCCTGCCTGCAGTCCCGGCCTGTCTCCACAAGAGAATGTGTGGCATATTTTAAAGCACAAAATACAATAAAGAAGACCCCACTGTTGTCCACGTTAAGTCTTGTTAAGTCTGGAGAAGGGGACAAAAATACAAATGAAACACTTCATCACTTGATGTCTTTAATCCCAATACATCTTTTAAGTGTTGTGAAAAGGAATGGCAACATTATTCTATTATTCATTCATTCATTCACTTTCTTTTCTTAGTCCCTTTATTGATCTGGAGTCGCCACAGCGCAATGAACCGCCAACTTCAAAACATTCATAAACACTCATACACTACGGACAATTTAGCGTACCCAATTTACCTGTACCGCATGTTTTAGGACAGTGGGGGAAACCGGAGCAACTGGAGAAAACCCACGCAAACGCAGGGAGAACATGCAAACTCCACACAGAAACGCCAAATGACCCAGCCAAGACTCTACTACCTACTGTGCCACCACATCGCCTACGGCAACATTACAAAATGGTAAATGCTTTTCTGTTCAAACTTTTTTTGAAATGTGTTTATTAAAGAAAATCAC